GTTTACCCTGCATGTGTGCTTGGCATCTTCAGAGGATGCTAGTCACAGGTGCAGGTGAAACATCAGGAGAAAATGCTGCTAGAACACAGCCATATAGCCTGGAAACTACACAACACCCCAGTGACTCCGACCATGAAAGCCTTCAGCAATATATATAAACATGCTTATAGCTACAGTCCTAAGTGCAATTGCGTGCAACATGTAAGCCTCAAAGATCTCAGTGAGATATCAATCTGGAGGAAAGATGCATCTGATGATACTGGATTATATTTGCTTGGGACTAAAGCCGATGGAGCACCATAGGAAATGGGTTGCTGTGAGTTTTCCGGGCTATATGGCCACGTTCCAGAAGCATTCTCTCCTGAAGTTTCACCCACAACTATGGAAGGCATCCTCAGAGGTTGTGAGGTCTGTTGGAAACTAGGCAAGTGGGGTTTATATATCTGTGAAATATCCAGGGTGGGAGAAAGAACTCTTTTCTGCTTGAAGCAAGTGTGAATGTTGCAATTGGCCATCTTGATAAGCACTGAGTGACCTTGCAGCTTCAAAGCCTGGCTGGTTGCTGCCTGGGGGGGGGTCTTTTGTTGAGACGTGTTAGCTGGCTCTGATTGATTCTTGCCTGAAATTCCCTGTTTTTTGAGTGTTGCTCTTTATTTACTGTCCTGATTTTAGAGGTTTTTTTTAAACATTGGTAGCCAGATTTTGTTCATTTTCATGGTTTCCTCCTTTCTGTTGAAATTGTCCACATGCTTGTGGATTTCAATGGCTTCTAAACAAAGTGAAGGTAAGTTCATACACTATTTATAATGAGGTTGTACATGAAACAAAAGTAGAGACATCATTGAACCATCAGAAAAGCAAGGGTGTCTTTGCTTCAGCCACTTATCAGGACCATTTCCCCCTCTGGGAGATAGGGGGGAATATAAATAATAATAATAATAATTATTATTATTGTTATTATTATTATTATTGACAATTTTGGAATTTGAGGATACTCAACCTGTATTCACCTATCCAGGAGATTTGAGGGTGCATCTCTACACTGTAGAATAAATGCACTTTTGCACCACTTTAACTGCCATGGTTCAGTGCTCTGGAATCCTGGGAGTTGTAGTTTGGTGAGGCACCAGCACTCTTCGACAGCCCTCTCTGTCGAAGAGTGCTGGTGCCTCACCAAACTACAACTCCCAGGATTCCAGAACACTGAACCATGGCACTGAAGACCTTGTCAAAGTACAATGCACATGCAGCTGTGGAGGTAAGAAAGGTGTCAGGTTGCATTCATTCAACAATGTAAATGTGCAATGAAAGAAGTGCTGTAATTCAAACAACATAGAGTAATATGATTTCCCTTTAAATGCCATAGCTCCTTCCAAAGAAACTGACTTTCTTCCTGACTTGAGACCACTGCTTCTTAAACTGTGGTTCCTGGACCCAAATTCCTGGGTCTCCTTAGCTCACAAAAAATTGACAGTAGTAAAAAGTTTCGAAACTCCCTCCCCACCACCAGCACCATTTACATCAGTGTTTCTCGATCTGGGGGTAATGGGGGGGGGGTTCTGAAGGGTCACCAAAGACTATGAGAAAACACAAACTTCTGATGGTCTTAGGAACCCCTTTGGCAGACAAGGCTGAAGATCTCTCCACCTGTTCACTTCCTTTTTGGAAACACATAGTGAATCATCTCACCAAAAGCCCTCCTGCTCTCTGGATGTAGGTGAACTACAACTCCAAAACACAAGGTCAATGCCCACCAAACTCTTCCAGCATTTTCTGTTGGTCATGGGAGTGTTGTGTGCCAAGTTTGGTTCAATTCCTTCGTTGGTGAAGTTCAGAATGCTCTTTGATTGTAGGTGAACTATAAATCCCAGCAACTACAACTCCAAAGTGACAAAATCAATTCCCTCCAACCCACCAGTATTTAAATTTGGGCGTATCGGGTATTTGTGCCAAATTTGGTACAGTGAATGAAAATACATCCTGCATATCAGATATTTACAGTATGATTCATAACAGTAGCAAAATGACAGTTATGAAGTAGTAATAAAAATAATGTTATGGTTGGGGGTCACCACAACATGAGGAACTGTATGAAGGGGTCACGGCATTAGGAAGGTTGAGAAACACTGATTTACACACAACTGTAAGCAACAAGGTGTAGAATTTCCATTGGATGCTGTAGAAAATGCTTCAGGCTGTTCTTCACTTTAAAATGTCCCGGACAGGATGGAGTGGTGACTTGTGAGTGGAAAGAATTTTCAGAAGTTGGGTTGTAGTGAGTTTTCCAGGCTGTATGGCCATGTTCCAGAAGCATTCTCTCCTGACATTTCACCTGCATCTGTGACAGGTATCCTCAGAGGTTGTGTGGTCCTCACAACCTCTGAGGATGCCTGCCATAGATGCAGGCGAAACGTCAGGAGAGAATGCTTCTGGAACATGGCCATAAGGTTAGGTAAAGGTAAAGGTTTTTCCCTGACATTAAGTCCAGTTGTATCCAACTCTGGGGGTTGGTGCTCATCTCAATTTCTAAGCCGAATAGCCGGCATTGTCTGTAGACACCCCCAAGGTCTTGTGGCCAGCATGACTGCATGGAGCACCGTTACCTTCCTGCAGAAGTGGTACCTATTGATCTACTCACATTTGCATGTTTTTGAACTGCTAGATTGGCAGGAGCTGGGGCTAACAGCAGGAGCTCACCCCTTTCACTGGATTTGAACCGCCAACCTTTTGGTCAGCAAGTTCAGCAGCTCAGTGGTTTAACCTGCTGCGCCACGAGGGGCTCAAGGTCGGGTATTGTCTTCTAAAATTCCACAGTTAAGCAGTACCTTGATTAGAATCAATCTAAATGTCACAGACGAATGTGCAAGCTTTTGTGTTCTCCCAAACTCTTCATGCTGATCGTTGAGCAGAGTGGGATGGAAGCAGGGAGCAGTAGCATGGAGCACCATTATCTTCCCGCTGGAAAGGTTATTGATCTACTCACATTTGCATGTTGTCGAACGCTAGGTTGGCAGAAGCTGGAGCTAACAGCGGGAGCTCACCCCACTCCCCTGATTTGAACCTGTGACCTTTTGGTCAGCAAGTTCAGCAGCTCAGTGGTTTAACCCACTGCACCACCAGGAGCTTCAACATGACCATACAGCCTGGAAAACTTAAAACAACCATGAGGCAGAAACGGGATTTTAATTGGATTTTTTCTGATGAAAGGATTGTCCTTTCATCACACTAGAGAACAAAATCCACTTAGAGCTGGCGTTGTTGTCCGTGGACACCTCCAAGGTCATGTGGCTAGCATGACAGCATGGAGCGCCGTTACCTTCCCGCGGAAGGCAGGTAGTTTGTTCTCTAGTGTGATGAAAGGAAAATACTTTCATCACACTAGAGAACAAAATCCACTTAGAATCATAGAGTTGGAAGAGACCTCATGGGCCATCCACTCCAACCCCCTGCCAAGAAGCAAGAAAATTGCATTCAAATCACCCCCAACAGATGGCCATCCAGCCTGTGTTTAAAAGCCTCCAAAGAAGGAGCCTCCATCTCACTCCGGGGCAGAGAGTTCCACTGCTGAACATCTCTCACAGTCAGGAAGTTCTTTCTAATGTTCAGATGGAATCTCCTTTCTTGTAGTTTGAAGCCATTGTTCTGCGTCCTGGTCTCCAAGGCAGCAGAAAACAAGCTTGCTCCCTCCTCCCTGTGACTTTTTCGCACATATTTATACATGGTTATCATGTCTCCTCTTAGCCTTCTCTTCTGCAGGCTAAACATGTCCAGCTCTTTAAGCTGCTCCTCAGGAGGCTTGTTCTCCAGATCCTTGATCATTTTAGTTGCCCTCCTCTGGACACATTCCAGCTTGTCAATATCTCCCTTCACTTGTGGTGCCCAGAATTGGACACAGTATTCTAACCAAAGCGGAATAGAGGGATTGCATGACTTCCCTGGTCCATGAGGTCACGGAAACAACTGAATGAATGAACAACAATAACATGACTTCCCTGGATCTAGACACTAGACTCCTATTGATGCAGGCCAAAATCCCATTGGCCTTTTTGCTACTGCATCACATTGTTGGCTCATGTTTAACTTGTTGTCCAGGAGGACTCCAAGATCTTTTCCACAGGCACTGCTCTCGAGCCAGGCATTGCCCCTCATTCTGTATCTTTGCATTTCATTTTTTTTCCTGCCTAATCTTGCATTTGTCCCTGTTGAACTTCACTTTGTTAGTTTTAAAATTCCGGTTTGTGCTTCCTGCAGAATCCTGGGCTTTGTAGTTTAGTGCGGCTGTTCAAGGATCCTCCCTAAACTACAAGCCCCAGAATTCTGCAGGAGGCAGAAGCCGGATTGTAAGTGGACTTTTTCCCTCTGGTGTGATGAAGTACTTGCAGGAAAGTCTCAGACCATTCCGTCTCCAGAAGCCCTGCTCTCGAGGGCTGGGAGTTGGCAACCAGGCAGAAGAGCCTCCCATTGGAAAACGACCCCGAAAGAAGGCCAGGGAGACTTGCCAGTTCCTACTCACTCCTCAGGGGCTGACTTTCGAAGAGATGGAGAGATGATGGATGAGGCTGCTCCAAGTTCAGCCCAGCTTGAAACGGGAAAGGCACATTGGGAGCTGCTGGCATTCCTCCCTCCCAAAGGAGGCAAGAGAGCTGGGGAAAGGTCGCTTTTTGGGTTGGCACGTGAAGAAACGGGTGGCGAGGGGGGGGAAGTGGAGAAGAAGGGAAAGTTTAGGAGAAGTTTTGCTCGAGAGCAGGCGCGGGCCAACGCCGGCCCTCCAGGGGTTTTGGACTTCAACTCCCACCATTCCTAACAGCCTACCGGCTGTTAGGAATGGTGAGTTGAAGTCCAAAACCCCTGGAGGGCCGGCGTTGGCCCCCGCTTGCTCTCGAGCAATGATTCCCTCCCGGTGTGTTGCTGGACCTCATCTCCCAGAGCTGAAGCCGCAAACACTTGGGAAAGCGGAGTTTTGGAGGAGAAGCAGGAGGAGGAAGCAGGAGCAGGCTTACCTGTAGAAGTAGTGTCCGCAGAACATGCCCAGCAGCATCCTGCACCCGAGGGGCGCCAGGCGGGGGGGCTCGCGGGAAGCCAGCAGCAGCGAGGGCACCAGGAAGGCGGGCAACTCCTGCAGGAACCAGGCGCAGCGGGCCGGCAAGTGGGCGCCCCCCTCCCCCGACGCCCCGCGCCTCGCCTTGCCCTTCTCCTTCTCCTCCTCCTCCTCCTCCGAGGGCTCTCTCCCCTCCCTCTCCCTCTCCCCCTCCCCCTCCCCCTGGTCCTCCTCATGCTTCCCGTAGCGGATGGGGCGCCGGCTGTTCCAACGCAGGTGCAGGAGCCCCAGCGCCGCCAGGAAGGCGCTCAAGGCGCTCACCAGGAGGGGCCAGCAAGGCATGGTCCAAGGTGGGTGGCCGGGGGGACCGGCCGGCCGGCCATTAATAGGAGCCCAGGAAGAGGAGGCGAGGAGAAGGGGAGGGCGCCCGGCCCCACCCCCGCCCCCTTTCTTCCCTCCCTCCCTCCTCCTTCTGACGCCCTCCCGGGCCCCCTCTCCCCCTCCGCCGAAGAGTCTCTCTCTTCCACCTCTGCCTCAAAGTTCCTCTCTTCCTCCTTTTCCTGTTTCAAAGCTCCCCTCTCTTCCTCTTCCCTTTCCCGCCTCAAGGGTCTCTCTCTCTCTTCCTCCTCCTCCTCCTTCAAGGGTCTCCACTCTTCATCTCTTCCTCTTCCTTCTGCTTCAAAGGTCCCCTCTCTTCACTTCTGCCGCCTCCTGCTTTAAGGGACCCCTCTCTTCCTCTTCCCTCTCCTGCCTCAAAGATCTCTCTCTTCCTCCTTCTGCCTCAAGGGTCTCCCCTCTTCGTGTCTTTCTCTTCCTTCAGCTTCAAAGGTCCCCTCTCTTTCTCTTCCCCCTCCGTCCTGCCTCAAGGGTCTCCTCTGCTAAAATCCCCTCTTTCTCCCTTTTCTGCTTCAAAGTTCCCCCCTCTTCCTCTTCCTTCTCCTGCCTCAGGGTCTCTGTCTTCCTCCTGTTGCTTCCTCAAGGGTGTCCACTCCTCATGTCTTCCTCTTTCAAAGGTCCTCTCTTTTCACTTCCTCCCCCTCCTGCTTCAAGGATCCCCTCTCTTCCTCTTCCCTCTCCTGCCTCCTATGAGTCCCTCTCTTCATGTCTTCCTCTTCCTTGTACTTCAAAGGTCCCCTCTTTTCACTTCTGCCGCCTCCTGCTTTAAGGGACCCCTCTCTTCCTCTTCCCTTTCCTGCCTCTCTTCCTCTTCTCTCTCTCTTCCTCCTTCTGTCTCAAGGGTCTCCACTGTTCACGTCTTCCTCTTCCTTGTGCTGCAAAGGTCCCTCTCTTCCTCTTCCCCAGCCTCAAGGGTCTCCTCTGTCGAGGAGCCCCCCTCTTTCTCCTTTTTCTGCTTCAAAGATTAGTCCTCTTCCCTCTCCTGCCTCAAGGTCTCTCTCTCCCTACTTCTCCTGCCTCAAGGGTCTCCACTCTTCATGTCTTCCTTTTACTTCTGCTTCAGAGGTCCCCTCTGTTCCCTTCCCCTTCCTGCCTCAAGGGTCTCCTCTGCCAAAAAACCCCCTTCCTTCTCCTTTTTCTGCTTTAAAGATCCCCTCTCTTCCTCTTCCCGCTCCTGCCTCCCTTCCTCCTCCTTCTGCCTGTGAGTCCCCCTTTTCCTCCTCCTGCCTCAAGGGTCTCCACTTTTTATTTCTTTCTCTTCCTTCTGGTTCAAAGGTCCCCTTTCTTCTCTTCTGCCTCCTCCTCCTTCAAGGGACCCCACTCTTCCTCTTCCCTCTCCTGCATCAAAGGTCTCTCTCTTCCTCCTCCTTCTGCCTCCAGGGTCTCCACTTTTCTCGCATTCCTCTTCCATCTGCTTCAAAGGTCTCCTCTCTTCCTCTTCCCCTTTCTACCTCAAGGGTCTCCTCTGTCTAGAAGTCCCTCTCTTTTTCCTTTAATTGCTTCAAAGATCCCCTCTATTCCTCTTCCCTCTCCTGACTCAAGGGTCCCCTCTCTTCACTTCTTCCCCCTCCTGTGCCCTCCCTCTTCCCTCTCCTGTCTCAAGGGTCTCTCTCTCTTCCTCCTCCTCCTCCTGACTCAAGAGTATCCACTCTTCACATCTTCCTCTTCCTTCTGCTTCAAAGGTCCCCTCTCTTCACTTCCGCCTCCTTCTGCTTCAAGGGTCTCTCTCTTCCTCCTCTTCCTGCCTCAAGGGTCTCCACCCTTCAGGTCTTTCTCTTCCTTCTTATTAAAAGGTCCCCTCTCTTCATTTCCTGCCTCCTCCTGCTTTAAGGGACCCCTCTCTTCCTCTTCCCATTCCTGCCTCAAGGGTCCCTCTCTTCCTCCTCCCAAGAGTTGCTCTCTTCCTCCTTCTTCTGTGCCAAGGGTCTCCACTCTTCATGTCTCTTCTTTCTTCAGTTTCAAAGGTCCCCTCTCTTCCTCTTCCCCCTCCTGCCTCAAGGGTCTCTTCTGCCAAAAAGCCCTTCTCTTTCTCCTTTTCCTCTTTCAATCCTCCCTCTTACCCTCTTCTGCCTGTAAACTCTAACACAGTGTTTCTCAACATGGGGGTCGGGACCCCTGTGGGGGTCGCGAGGGGGTGTCAGAGGGGTCGCCAAAGAACATCAGATAACATAGTATTTTCAGTTGGTCATGGGGGTTCTGTGTGGAAAGTTTGGTCCAATGGTATCATTGGTGGAGTTGAGAATACTATTTCATTGTGGGTGAACTATAAATCCCAACAACTACAACTCCCAAATGGTAAGGTCTATTTTCTCCAAACTCTACCAGTGTTCACATTTGGGCATATTGAGTATTTGTGCCAAGTTTGATCCAGATCCATCATTGCTTGAGTCCACAGTGTTCTCTGGATGTAGGTGAACTACAACTCCAAAAACTCAAGGTCAATGTCCACCAGACCTTCCCAGTATTTTTTCTTGGTCATGGGAATTCTGTGTGTGCCATGTTTGATTCAATTCCATCATTGATGGAATTCAGAAGGCTCTTTGATTTAAGGTGAACTATAAATCCCAGCAACTCCAGCATTACCAAATGACAAAATCAATCACCCCCAACCCCACTAGTATTCAAATTTTGGGCGTATCGGGTATTTGTGCCAAATTTGGTCCAGGGACTGAAAATATATCCTGCATATCAGATATTTACATTACAATTCAACAGTAGCAAAATTACAGTTATGAAGTAGCAATGAAAATAATGTTATGGTTGGGGGTCACCACAACATGAGGACCTATATTAAGGGGTCGTGGCATTAGGAATGTTGAGAACCACTGCTCTAACACATATGGATGGAAGACTTTCTACAAATGTTCTTGTGGGTTTTTTCGGGCTATATACAAGAACTGAGTGATTCCGGCCATGAAAGTCTTCGACAATACTTTCTACAAATGTTACTAAGTGGAAATTTCTCTGTTGACTCCATGTTTTGATTGGAGCAGCTCGTGGGTCGTCCCCCACCCCCATTCATTTGTTGCATTATTCATCATCTCTTCTTCCTCCTCCTGCCTAAGAGTCCCTCTCTTCTTCTTCTTTCTCCTTCTGCCTCAAGGGACCCCAATAATAACAACAACAGCAACAGTGTTATTTGTAATCCCATTTATCTCCCAAGGGGGACTCAGGGCAGTTTCCTGACATTGGACATGCCATGGGGTTGCTGTGAGTTTCAGGTTGTGTGGCCATGCTCCATACATTCTCTCCTGATGTTTCACCCACATCTATGGCAGGCATCCTCAGATGTTGTGAGATCTTTTGGAAGCTCAATGGGGTTTATATATCTGTGGAATGTCCAGGATGGGGGGAAAATCTTGTCTGCTTGAGGCAAGTGTGAATGTTGCAGTTGGCCACCTTGATTAGCATTTAATGGCCTTGTAGCTTCAAAGCCTGGCTGCTTCCTGCCTGGATGAATCCTTTGTTGGGAGGTATTTTATTTATTTATTTATTTATTTATTTATTATTTAAACTTATATGCTGCCACTCCCCTGGGGCTCAGAGCGGCTTACAAGACTAGCTAAAATCTAACAAAATTTAAAAGCAATTTAAAACAATTTAAAAACAACACTATCAAACATTAAAAGCCTGTCGAAACAGGTATGTCTTACATGCCCTGCGGAAAGCTGGTAAGTCCCGCAAGGCACGGACTTCAGGTGGCAGAGTATTCCAGAGTGATAGTGCCACTGCTGTGAAGGCTCTACGTCTGGTTGCTGTTAGACGCAAGGTCTTGACATTGGGGACTTTCAATAGATCTTGGTCCTCAGAACGGAGGGATCTCTGGGGTTGGTAGGGGGTGAGGCGGTATTAGCTGGCCTTGATTGCCATAATCACAAATAAAGCCAAATACATAATCAAATGATCCATAAAAGTAGACATCAATGTGAACTCATAATAACTAACCAAACAAAGACTTTAAAACAAATCGGCCTCATCATCCATAGTTACATAATTTGTTATATAGAGAATCTCCAATATCTTTAGTAATGGCCTGTTGTGAGTTTTCTGGGTTGTATGGCCATGTTCCAGAAGCATTCTCTCCTGACATTTCACTCACATCCATGGCAGGCATCCTCAGATGTTGAGGGGTCTGTTGGAAACTAACTAAGTAAGGTGCGTGTGTGTGTGTGTGTGTGTGTGTGTATGTATATGTATGTATGTATACACACACACACACACACACAGAAATTCCAACAAATACTATGTTCAGCAAAGGACAAGAGGGATCCTCTCATCTCTATAGGAGTCTACCATATACCATGCAGCTGTGGACAAGTCTACATAGGGACCACCAAACGCAGCATTGCCCATACATGAATCAAGCAAAATGAAAGGCCCTGCATACTATTTCAGAAAAATCAGCCATAGCAGAGCACTTGATGAACCAACCTGGACACAGCATATTATTTGAGAATTCAGAAATGCTGGGCCACTCTAACAACCATCATGCCAGACCTCACAGAGACGCCTTTGAAATCCACAAGCAGGTGGACAATTTCAGAAGAAAGGGGGAAACCATGAAAATGAACAAAACCTGGCTACCAGTATTTAAAAAAAAAACTCTAAAAAAACCAGGGCAGTAAATAAAGAGCGACACTCAAAAACAGAGGGGGGGGGGGGAATTGTGTCAGGAGTCACTTGAGAAACTGTAAGTCACTTCTGGTGTGAGAGAATTGGCTGTCTGCAAAGACGTTGCCTAGGGGACACCCAGATGTTTTGATTTTTTACCATCCTTGTGGGAGGCATCTCTCATGTCCCCACATGGGGAGCTGGAGCTGACAGAGGGAGCTCATCCATGTTCTTCCTGGATTTGAACCTCCAGCCTGTTGATCTTCAGTCTTGCTGGCACAAGGGTTTAACCCATTGCGCCACCGGCTCTTCTAAAACACAGGGTAATTCCAGACAAGAATCAGTTAGGGTCAGCTAACACATCCCAATAAAGGATCCTCTCAGGC